GCTCCATGAGTTCAAGGCCAGCCTGGTCTACAGAGCAAGTTCCAGACTGACCAGGATATACAGAAAAACCCTGTCTCGAAAAACCAACACACACACACACACACACACACACACAGAGAGAGAGAGAGAGAGAGAGAGAGAGAGAGAGAGAGAGAGAACACAAAGAATACAGAAGCACTCACTCACTATGTGCTTCTGAACCAGTATGGGCAGAACAGAACTCAAGAAGGTATAGAGGAAGGGTGGGGAGACCAGCGTGGGAATGGCCGTGCATCTTTTGGTGTGAATTCCTATCTGTGAGATTGACACAGTGGCCCAGCCTATGGATCCAGAAGCCTCCCCTCTCCCTGCAGTGACTCAAGCCCGGTAGCTATCCTGTCTGTTCTAGAAACATCATGAGCACTCAGCGGTGTAGAGGGAGCAGCACTGTTCCCAGGAGGACCTCACCTCAAAGTAGACACTGGCGCACTAATCGGTAGTGCTGATCCTGCATCCCCTAAGCCAGAGAAGCAGAGCACTGGACAATGGCTACCTTCATCCCTGAGCACCCCTCCCCCCAGCTCAGCAAGGCTTGTTTGTCCTGGAACCTGCAAAACTACCCTGTCCACTGATCCTGTCGACCCAAGAGGTGCTGAGAATTAGGTTGGATGAAGCTGGCCTCCTCAAGAAGCCATGACAGCTCATCTCCCTGAGGTACTTCCCTGCCTCCCAGGCTGGGGAAGTAGGTCTCCTGTCGTTCACATAGTGGCGTGCTGAAGCTGAGATCTGAGAGAAGGAAGGTAGCAGAGGCATTGTGTTGAACGGTGTGGTTCCCACCAGGGACCAGAGTAGTGCCTGTGCCTCTGGCCCTGGAGCTCAGGCCCATTGCCTGGGTGACTGTACCCTCCCTGCATGTGCTACAGGCATGTCATCTCTCTGCCTTTCCTTCCTGGGGGAACAGAAGTCAGCACATGGGGTCCAAAGGGTCACTGGCCAGAACTCCAGAGAATGATTTCAGAGGAGGCCTTTGACCTGGCCAGCCGCCCGTAATGTCTTGAGCAAGCTGGACAGCCTGTGTCAGCGTGGCCAGCACAGCCTCTCCCCATAAGGCCACACTGGTAGATGAGGGGAGCATTGCCTCACTCAGCTGCCCTGGGTCAGGAAAGCAGAGAACAGCTAAGGTACCGCAGCCCAGAGATGCCACAACCCTGAGGTGTCATAGTGAGGTGACACAGGTAGTGAGGGGCTTGCTACCCACGCTGTAGCCATCACTGAGGGCCTAACAGTCCCTCACCAGCCTTGACCTGCTCTGACATAGCCTAGGATCCTCAGGATCCTGCCTGAAGTCTCAAGCTGGTAGGTAAACCTGCAAAAGTCCTCTGTCATTTTATCTAGAAACCAGTCAAATGCAAGTTGGCCATCCCCAGAGAATATCTTATAGAGTTACACACCATCTGAACACACACACACACACACACACACACACACACACACACACGGTTCCACATGAGGGGCATAAGGGACACTGAGGATCCTGAAGCAGGTTCAAAGCTTCCCAAACAACTTGAGACATCTGTTATGTTCTCGGACCTCCCCTGTCTATCTCTTTCTGCCTACACTATTGTGTCTTCCCAAGAATGTATTCAGAGGCTAGCTGGTTCTTAGGCCACCTCACAGTACAAGCTCTTCCTGCAGCTGTCACCCCCATCCTTGGCCCTGTCTCCCCCTGACCCCTGCCAGAGGCAGAATTAGAATCAAGCCAGGTCATTGCACAGGCACAGACAAGTACTTGTTGGGCACAGCCTCTCTCTTTATGTGTTTCCTACACAGATGGCTTGCTGTAGGCAGGACAGCAAGGAAGAGACTACCCTGGTCACACCTGGCAAAGTCATCTTCAAGAGGGATGGTGGGCCAAAACCACCCATAGCTCGCTGTCCTGAACCCCATAGCAGTGGGCACTAGCTAAAGTTACACAGCTCAAGGGGACATGGTATGCAACCGTCCTGGGAGTGGAGCTCAAGCTGCTGGCCATGCAGCTTTGGGATCCTCAAGGTGTTGTGTGAGGAGTCAACATTTGGGGTTGGGTCCCAAGGTTACAGGCTCTTCTAGAAAAAGGCCTGAGGCAGGGGTTTAGTGCAGGGATGGGAATGCTGATCCATTGCGCAATGTGAATGTGAGAGCTAGGAAGCAAGTTCACGGTCACCCATACAGACCCAACTGAAGGCTTGGACTCCACCTTGGAGGTAGTAGGGAGCCTCGGAGAGTTTGACGGGCCAGAAAGTGTAATACAATCTAATTGATAAGCATGATGGAAAAAGGAGCTCATGTTGAATGCAAACAGAGAGCAGAGGCACACACAGGTTCCATGGGGACAGGAGAGGTCTCAGTGAAGGGGTGGTTAGCTCCTAAAGACAGGAGGGCTGGAGCAGACAAGCCTAACATGAGCTGGAAAGGTCTTGTCAGCTGTGCCTAGGACCACAACTTGGACTGAGTCATGAGCTGCGTCCAGGGCCCACAGCAGGCCCTCCCCAGTCCCCCAAGGCAGATTCTGGAGACACCACTGAGTCCAGTCTTTGGAAAGCCACATCAGGACAGCCATAGAGCTGGGAGGTCACATGATATCCTGGAGCCAAGCAGCTGGGTAGTAGCTTTGAAGGTGGCTTCTGGGCCTGGGAACCTCAGGAGCAGGAAAGCCGAGGCTCTTGGTAATCAGACATTTTAGTGTCCCCAGTGCAGATAAGAGCCAAGGCATCTGTCCATCTGCACACACAGTCAGCTGCTCCCCAGACTCTGGGGTCAGTGAAGGCAAGCCATGGCATGGCAGTGCATCCAAACCCAGGTTAAAAACAGAACAAAAAAAAAAAACAGAGGCAGAGCAGGCTTTACAGGTAAGTTACTGGTCAGCACAGGTGGAATCAAGTCTCTGGTCACAGGGACTCAGGCCCCAGACAGGCTTAACATAGCAATGTTATGCCTCCCAGCCACAGAGTAGCAGGCCATGGCCCCCACAACCGGAGGTCTGGAAGTTGGGCCAGGTACCTCCTCCCTCCCCACAGGGAGAACTCTGAAAAGAAAGGCCAGCAACAGAAACCAAAACCAGACCTACTCAGGGACAGTTCAAGTAAATCCCCCTAGCTCTGGGCCTACCCAGCTCTAAGTGCCAGTTAGAAGACATTTTGTCAGACACTGGCCAGAGCCATGGCCATCTCCATCCACTGTGACCAGCAGTAGAACTGGGCTATTCCTTCCTTGGCGTTTGCCCATGCCTGTTCCAGGTAGGCAGCAAGAGGACCTGGCACAAAGACCTTTCTGTAATTCTTACCCCTCCATGATGCCTTCTGGGAAGGGCCTCACCAGGTGACATGGTAGGAATGCTCAGGGTCCCAGAAGGCTCCTGAGTCAGATAGCAGAGCCTGGTCCAGCAGGAGCTAGAACAAAAATGGCCCAAGGAGGTTGCTGGTTTCCTCAAGCTGGATAGTGGCCCACACCTTTAGTCCCCACTCAGGAGGCAGAGGCAGGCGGATCTCTGTGAATTCCAGGACAGCCTGGTCTACAGAGCGAGTTCCAGGACAGCCATGGCTGTTAGACAGAGAAACTCTGTCTTTAAAAAAAAAACAAAAATAAGTTTCCAGCTGGAGAGATGGCTCAGTGGTTAAGAGCACTGGCTGCTGCTCTTTCAGAGGTCCTGAGTTCAATTCCCAGGAACTCATGGTGGCTCACAACCATCTGTAATGAGATCTGATGCCTTCTTTTACATGCCAGCAGAACACCACACACATAATAAATAAATCTTTAAAGTTTCCTCAGAAAACTGAACATAGTTTGACCTAACCTATAACCCCAGCCCTCACAAGGCTGAAGCAGGAAGATTGCTGTGAGTTTAAGGCCAGCCTGGATTACAAAGCAAGACTCTGACTTTAAAAGAGACAGACACAAAGAAAAAGACACCTCCCACCTGACTCCCTAGGATTGCAAAGCAGAAATAAGTGCAGGATGGGAAGTAGGGTGGAGGGCGGCTCATCTGCCTGCCACTTCCCTGGAGCTCATGCAAGCATTCAGACTCCATGCCCACTGCATTGTGGGCTGTACTGACTTGTACCCTACTCAGTGCCCATCCAGCATGTGCCAGCCATGTCCTTGGGAGTCACAGAAAAGTGGACTCATCATGTTAGACAGAGCATGCACATCACCTCCTAGCCTGCCTCACGCATATAAAATGGCTGAGTCAAGGCTGGCAAGCAGTGCCGCTACATTCCGCTATAAAATGCAGTGTGTGGTGTTGCTTGCTTTCAATTCCTGCACTTGGGAGGTAGAGGCAGGTGGATCCCTAATTTCTAGGTTGCATAGTGAGTTCCAGGTAAAGCCGAGCTACATAGTGAGATCCTATCTGCTGGGCCAGACTGCCAGAGACAAAGGACAGGTCTTTAGGGAGGTGAAATAATGTCTTACAAAAAGAAACATTTTTAGTGTCAAAGACTCAAAGGGTAGAGGTGGCTTGCCTACTAAGTCTGGGTGCTAGCAACAGCAACGAAACGATTACCTATACCATGGCTCAAGTGGACACTGGCTGGGCTGCTTTGGTGTTTAACCTGTGCCTGGTGCAGCACAGCTCCAGGGTCCTTGGCCTGTGTCTCGGGAATGCTAAATGGTTGGAAGTGTTCATGGCCAGCACCTATATACTCAGGCCCTGAGGACAGGACAACCGACTGGACTCTTGGTGGTGTGGTCCAGCATGAATGGGGAGTGGGGCCCACCTGCCCCATCCCGAGGAAATGGTCACAGCAGGTCAGGATGTTTTTGTTTTGTCTGTGTGCAGGAGGAGAGGCAGGCCAGGATCAGCAGAGACTATATGGAGCCCGTGCCCAAAAAGAGTGTACCCCAGTCAGGACGTAACACGACTGACGTCACTAGCTAGGGCTAGGTCCTCGTGGGTTGCTGATGGTGGCACGACCAACTCTGGGGACGCATGTCCTTCCTCTTCCTGTGTTCCTAACCACACTTTTTCTGCCTCTTACCTGTAGAGTGCCCAGCACCTCTGGGAGCCAGCCGTCTCCAAAAGGTTGACCAGAGTCCTGTCACCATGCAAAGCACTTTTGCTGTCAAAGGTCTAAAGATGGAAGTTCAGCCAAAAGCCACACACCCCAGACCCAGCACGTCTCATCCAGCTAAACCCACAAACTTCAAGACGCAGCGGCACCCTAGGATCCGCAACTACAACCTCAAGAACTAAGTCTCGGCCCCCTTCAGGGGACCCAAGAAGGCCTCCAGATTGGAGCCTGTGCTTGGGGCCTGTGTGCATGAGTGTGCACATGGCATACAGGTGGGCTGTGCGCACAGGGCAGGCTCCCGATGATGGCCTTGCTGATGTCATCAAACCATTAAAACCCTCCTCCTTCTGCTTGGCCTGCAAAGTTGTCTATCTTGTCCTACTTGCCTCCGGCCTGTGTCACCACTTACAGCCGCTGTGCACTAACCATTGTCATTCAGTGTCCTCTAGAACCCAGTGGGGAGAATAGAGTGGCCATCTGCAAAGCAAGTATGTTCTCAGAGAACACCGTGTGAGAAAGTCTCCCGGGAGTGTATCCTTCAAGGCCCCATCACATGCCAGTACCACAGGGACACACCCACACGTCCTTCTGAAAACCTCATCGTGACACCTGCCTTGACACTGGTCAAGGATGATGGCTAGACTTGATTTGAAATGTCTTAAGGCCTGGTATCACTGCCTGACCATTTCCTGCCAGAACTTATGGGTGGCTGTGGCCTTGACCTTGCTGGGTATCCTCCAAGACAGACATGGAGAACTGTGGGGGTGAAAGGTATCTCCCAGCTCTAGGCTGCTGTCATGTGACGTTTGCAGCTTCATTTTCACCCATGTAATACTGACACTGGTTACTAGCTGTCTGGCTGACCTGTGACAAATGTAACAGGAAAACCTACACTCAGTAATGTGGTCTTGTGTGCCAGTTAGCAGAGGTTTGCAGATGGCTTCTCTCCCTCCGGGTGCATATGCACAACAGCCCACCTGGGTACACTGTGCTTCCAGGACCAGCACGGGCAATGGCAGGCCAACCTGACGTGGCTCTTCCAAGGCCAATGCACTTTTTTTGTTGGTTAGACCACACGTGTGTGAGATGTAGCCCTGCAGCGTCCGTGGATGGGAAGGAGTGCAGAGATGTCCAGTCTGACCTCTGCGCCCTTCTCTATGGACAGGCCCAGACTCTGCATTCAGCCAACTGTCCTGGGTCCCTGGTAGCTGCAGAGGGCAGGCCTCTGCTGACCACTTCGGACCAGCAGCATGGCCAGTAAGGAAGCAAACATGGCATAGTTTAAGGCACCAGGAGGTGGGGTTGGGCAGCTCTGGCTGGCACAGACACAAGACTTTTGAGCTCTCTCAAGGCTGGCCCTGAAACCTAAAGATACCAGCAATGAACTCCAAAGTGAAGACCCCCGAATGCTGTTGGTATTGTTGTTCCTTTGTTACAGTTATAAAGCTGGAGAAGTGTGTGTGTGTGTGTGTGTGTGTGTGGAGTGGGGGTCCCAAGGTAAGGGACCACGTGGGAGGGCATAGCGGGTTCCATAGCAGAAGAGGGTAAGGGAGGTGGAGGGACAAACACGCCAGGCAGACAGTGCTTGAGTGAGGAGTTTATTTAGAAAGGGAGAGAGGGGAAGGTAAAGAGACACACCAGGAACAGGAGAAGCGCAAAGGGAGCACAGAGAGCGTAAGTGGGCGGGGCCTGACTTTTAAAGGGGTCCTTCACACCTGCCTACAGACTAGTACTCATGGAACCCTGGGCTGACCAGAGTACTGCCTGAGTGCATTCTGCCAGGTGACAGGGGCAGGTCAACATAAAAGCTGAATCCTTACAGGTATGGGACCTGGTTCCTTCACCTCTACCTCCACAGACTACGCTTAACAGCAGATGCCAACAGCAAGGCAGGGAATGGCCGGCCCTTAAAGTCATGGGGGCAGTAGTGGGAGAACTTGGCCACCATGTGGGCAGAATACACCTGCCAGTCCTGTAGGCTGACCTTCAGGGTCCTGCTTGGCAGCCTTCCATAGTGATCCTGGGTGGACAATCAAGTTGGGGAAGCTGGGAGCCAGGGTTGACAAGCAAGGCTGAGGTTCTGCTACCCATCCTTTTGCTCCTAGCTTATTGAGGTACCATGCTATAGACAGGCAGTCGAGGACCACTCACCCCGCCCCACCCCAAAGAAAGGACACTGCCCCATAAGGAGGTGTCTCTTTGGTGGCCTGGGCCGAAAGGGGAAGGACAGCATGGAAGGGAGCAACCTCTCTAGGCATTCAAGCGGCCCCCTGAGCAATTTGTCTCTTCTTGGTTGGTGGGTTTTGTCATCTCCCGCCCCCAGATTCAATGACCCTTTCAAAAGAGGAATTTAAAGAGAGGGAGGGAGAGGGTCCCGGAAGCTAGCATCTCTGGGAGGCGCGCAGCAGCTCCTTTGTTCCCACCATGCGGGGGAGGGGTGGTATCCCGCTCGCCAGATGGCCACGTCTGGACCGTGCGCGGACTCCCGAGACCGCGGCATGCGCCTGTCAGTGTTCCTGATCCTGCTCACTGTTCCCGTCCCTGCCCGCATCCTGGTCTCCAAGGCGGCCACAGAGAGGGTGTCGGAGAAAGTTGGGCCGCGATGACCGGTAGTAACCCCGCCGGAGGAGCCCTCCGCCAGGGTCAACGACCGCGCTTGCGCGGGGGCCAGCGAAGCGCCTCGCCGCTGTTGCCGGCCCATCACCCTATTGCCTAGCAACGCCCACCCGCGCGCCGCCATTGGACGGTCGCGAACGGCCTCGGCACCCAATTGGTCTCGATGTGGAGCGGGCCACGCCCCTCAGCTCCGCGCGCGCTACGATCGCGGCGTGGAGTCGCGGCGACCCGGGCCTGTCCCCCTTCGTGGCCCTGATGTCTTCAGTGCAGTCCCCAGTGTGACCAAGCACGCCCATCCCACACTGCGCGCGCACAGTGCACACCTGGCCGGGCCGCGGGAGGCGGGGGCTGGGAGGGCAGAGATGAGGGCGTCGGGATGGGCCCCGCGTGGCCTGCGCGAGGCCGGGGGCGGGGACGGAAGCGGGCGGGGGCTGCGCGCTCCCTTCGCTCCAGCGCGCGCCCGCGCAGGGTCCCGGCTGGGGGCGGCGCGCGCGGGCATCACCCCACCGGCGGCGGCGCGCCGGGTCCCGGGGCGCAGCCCCGACGCTCATTGGCCTGGGCGGCGCAGCCAAGCTGTCAGCCCATGTGGCGTGGCCGCGCGGGGATGGCCGCGGTTTAAATAGCGCCGGCGCGGCCTAGAGGGAGCCAGAGAGACGGCAGCGGCGTCTCGTCTAGTTCGCCTGTCGCGCTCCGCGCTTGTCGTCTGCCTCCAGAGCCCAGTCAGGTACGCGGCTGGGGTCCGGGACGGCAGGCCGGTGTCGGGGTGCCGTGGCCCCGGTGGGAGGACAGGCGGGCGCCGATGCTCAGCATCCTTGCGCTTTTGTGAGCGCTCCCCTCCGACGGCCAAGCACCGGGCTGCGTGCCGCGGTCGGGCCGAGAGGGGCGCGGGAGGGGTGTGCGGAGGGCCAGCGCGGCGGGCCGCCGTCACGTGGGCGCCGCGCCAGCCCGGTGCAGGAGGCTGGGCGTCCGCGTGGATGGGGCCGGGGGCCTTCGCTTGCGCTGGGAGGCTTTGGCAGGGCGCAAGAGGCCGCCGTGGCGGTGGTACGCCGGCGCCAGCTTGGAGAGGCCAGATGCGGGTCTGGGTGCGCACGAGGCCCCAGGGGCCTCAGCGGAAGTCACCGTGCCATCCAGGCCTTGCCGGCAGGGTGGCGCGGAATCCTCCACATTGCACCTATGGCTGCAAGGCCTGGACTGTCCTGGGCAAGTGCCTTAGGAACCCGAGGACCTAATGCGGATCCTGCTGCTGCCTCGGTCGGGTTATATGGTGGCGAAAGGCTTTGACTGTCCCTGCTCCGTACCTAGCGGGGAGTAGTACTCCTGGTTGGATCTTGCTGGAGGGGTCCATTGGCTGTGTTTGCCTCAGCCCCGCCAGACTTGGGCACTCAATAGTAGTCGGGCCTGTTCCCTCTTGAGTCCTTAGCAGCCCCGCGTCTTTGCTGGCCCTAGGCAGCACCCGGTCTCCACCCCCACCTTGAAAGGGAAGCGCCGGCTTCCCCGTGGCTTGAGCCGAGCATGGTTTCAAGTGTTCCGCACCCTGCATCTTGAAGCCCCAACTAACTCTCTCTCTGCAAGTTCCTGATTTGACCAGCTTGGGATGAAGTACCCAGTAGGCTCCTGGAGGTCATGCGGTCCCAGGTAGCTCCAGCGTGGCATGGTAGGGTCAGGCTAGGTCAAGTCCCTTACGAGTAACTATCAATGCTAAGAGACCCGAGCACGGGCCTCATCCAGTGATTAAGGCTCGGTCCTGCTTGTTTCCACTGGGGACTTTGTGAGAAAATTCCGTGCAGGCAGGGTACTACCTGTGGATCAGGGCCCATCTTAACCAACTGAGCACAGTGGCCGAATGACTGTGTGGGGCCCACCATGCTACCTTCCCCACAGAGAAGAAACATGGAGGAGGTGGTGATAGCCGGCATGTCGGGGAAGTTGCCCGAGTCAGAGAACCTGCAGGAGTTCTGGGCCAACCTCATTGGTGGTGTGGACATGGTCACAGACGATGACAGGCGATGGAAGGCCGGTGAGTTTCCCCGCAGGATCAGGCCACAGACCTGATTGAGAGCCTGTGGCCAAGGCACTTCCTGGAGACAGTGCCTGTTGAGACTCCTGTATAGCTGTGAGTTTGAGAACCAATCAGAATCTAAAAAGGACAGGTGACGCGCTTGGATCCTGCATGGAGGACACCAGAGCTGGGCAGGGGGAGGGGGCTCTTCTCTAAGTCCTACCTGCGGCCTGTGCCCCGAGCTAGCAGGCAGACTAAGATGCTGGTTTGTCTTTCACACCCATTGGACTCTAACAGCCACAGAGTGGCTCTACCTGATGGACAGGTGTGAGTCAGCGTTGTGATTGTGAGGCTGGCCTGCCAGCCTCATGCAGGCAGAGGGTCTCCCATCAGATTGGAGGTGGCAGTCACCAGCCTCACCTCTGGCAGGTTTGCTTTGGGCCGCATACACGTGGGTGTTTTGGGGGGACCCCTCATTCACAGGGAGGGGGTCACCAATCGCTGCTTTGTGGGAGCCTTCCTCGAGAAGAGGGAGGGGCTCTTGGTTCCCCTGGCTTCAGTGGCTATGGTGTTCCACAGGGCTCTATGGGCTGCCCAAGCGGTCTGGAAAGCTGAAGGACCTGTCCAAGTTCGACGCCTCCTTCTTTGGGGTCCACCCCAAGCAGGCTCACACAATGGACCCCCAGCTCCGGCTGCTGTTGGAAGTCAGCTATGAGGCTATTGTGGATGGAGGTGGGTCACTGGGGTGTCGCTGCCCTGTTTAGAACATGCTGTAATGAGGTCTGGGGCGGTAGAGCACTTGCCCCTTGTGTGCAGGGACTTGGGTTT